ATTGACGTGAAAAAATTCGACGTTTTTGCGTTTGTCATTATCTAATGACTCACGAAGTTCCAACCTGGTGTGAAAATTTCTCAGCATTTTTTCTAAACTTTTAAAAAAATCACAAAGCTGTAGAGAAAATCCCCGAAAATGATGACACCAGCACAAAACTTCGTGAGCCATTAAATAATGACAAAACGCAAAAACCTTATATTTTTGCACATCAATCCTATCAATAATTTCCCAAAAAAAAAGTTAAAACCGTAAATTTTGGCTATATATAAGGGATGTGGAATATCCTTAACTGATGACAAACCGCAAAAAAGGATTTGTTCACGTGAATTCCACCGCAAGTTCGCCAATAAAATGAAGAAAATCCGAAGTTTTATGGAAACCATGTAGAGCATCCTCAATTGCTAATTAACTGGATTTAGTTGGGGGGTTGGGGGGAAGACATTATTTGAGTCTAAAATTTATTTTCTTTTTCAGAGACGCGATTCGCAGTGATAGAATGAGAGTCGTGACACTGACTGGGGAAAATAGCGAAAGGAAGACCTCCCCCTGGTTGTATTACTCGAGCTTTAGGGCTTACACAAGCACCCGCGTAAAGTGCGTGCTGTGATTGGCTCCTGAGTGAGAATTGCGTGGGTGTCCTCCCCCACACATTCACGAGCTATTTAGCCTTGGGGGGTGAGTATATGTCGTTCATTCACGGTTTATTATTCATTTTTTTGGAAGCCCTGGCTCAAGTAACCGCTTTCTATCATTTTTTCTTGAATTCAGTGCGAAAAAACGAATTGAAAAGGAATTCAATGCAATTTTCAGGAGAATTGTGAATTGTGGAAATTGTGAAAAGAGGGGTCTCTTTGAATTTTCAAGGACACACCACTTTTCCTAAATTTTTATTTCCCTTAAATAGAATTCAAGGGGATTTTTCACAGAAATTGTGTTTTTGGTTTAAATTGTAATGGAGGGGGAAATTACGGCAGACTGTGGAAAAATTCCTTGTCTGCCAGTGAATATTTCATTTTTACGGGTTTTCAGTGTCATAATGACCTGACAATTGACAGTTACCAAATTATTCTTAAAAATTCCAAGTTTTTCTCAATATTTCAATTGATCATGTTAAATAAGAATTAATTTTTCCATAAAAGTTCGAATTTCGAATTTCGAAATTCCATTTCCCGGAAATTTCTATTTATTCTCGGAGAAATTAAAGGTTCTCGTGCATCAGGAATATTCATAAATTGGAATATTTTGCATATGAAAAATTATTACAATATCCAGTTTAGTTCGTCCCCAAAGAACTTCAATTTTCTCCTTCCTCTCGCTTTGTTGTACATAGACTCAAATTTTATAAAAAATGTTAAGTATTATTGAAAGATTTATATACCCGGCCAGAAGGACTCAGATTTAATATCACTACTGTTTATAGCTTCAGCAAATCTTAGACTGTAAACGGCTGAGTAGGCTATACATGGCAATAAATGAAATAATAAATAAATAAATAATACAATATCAAGTTCTTACTTGAAATTTCAAGTGCAGTTATTCATTAGAGTAGTGAAGTATCAAGATACTGCAGAGGATGTACGTGTTGGGTGGTTGTCATGCGCTGAGATGAGACGATGAGAGGATAAGAGGATGAGACGATGAGTGGAGAAGAGGAGGAGAGGATGAGAGGATGAGAGAATGAGACGATGAGAGGATGAGAGGATGATGAGAGAATGAGACGATGAGACGATGAGACGATGAGAGGATGAGAGGATGAGACGATGAGAGGATGAGAGGATGAGAGGATGAGAGAATGAGACGATGAGAGGAGGAGAGGATGAGAAGAGGAGTGGAGGAGTGGAGGAGTGGAGGAGTGGAGGAGTGGAGGAGAGGAGGAGAGGAGAAGAGAAGGAAAGGAGGAGGTGAGAAGGGAATGAGGGGAAGAGAGGGCAAGAGTAAAGGACGAGGGAAGTTGTGAATGAAAGCCCTTGGGGGATAGGATAGGCTCGAGAAGGCAACGCACCACAAGACTTTCTCTGTCCTCATCCATTCACATGGACCACTGCCTGCATTCCCTCTCCGCCTTTTATTTTCCAATCAAAGGCCCCTTTCATCCCAGCCCCATCCAGTTCAAAGCTTTCTGCCTTCAATCAGTGAAACCTCCTTTTCATTTTACCAACGTCCATTTTTCCTGCGGATTTCATTACCCCAATGGAATCCTTCCTTTAACCGATGCACAACTATTTGCTCTACTCGAAAAAACACCTCAATTCTACTTTAAGGTTCAAGAAAACTTTAAGTTAATGCATCATTTCAATATTTTTTATAGATTTTTCGGGAAAACTAGTGGGTTCTTAGGGAAATTCGTGGAAGAGGTCTCGAGGAATGTGAACGATTTTTTTGGGAATCCCGGGGAGAGAGAATTCTTTTGATTTTTTTTAATGTTTCAGGGTTTTCATTGAGGAAGAGATATTTATCGTGGATTCTCGTGAATTTTTAGAGAATATTAATGGAATTTTTTGGGAATTCCGGGATCTTCGGAATTCAGTAGATCTTTATTTTCTCGAAATTTCAATGGAAAAATTACTCCAAGAATGAAAACTTGGAAATTTGGAAAATGTCTCGTGTTGAAAATCTCCGTAGATCATTTGTAATACTCTAGAAATTCTTGGAATTTTAAAAATTCCATGTTTTCACCCAATTTTCACTCAGACATTTCCATAAAAATTCTTGAATTACTCATACGCCACAATTACCACTCACCAAGATAAATTTAACTATGCAATGATAAAAAACGTGGATATAAACAAATTTTATGGTTTTATTCCAAAATGTCGTACGGGGCGCTCCTTAATTTTCACCTGAATGCCCAATTGAAAAATATATCAATTTGTAATTTTCTCTTTCGTAATCGGTAAGCGACTTTAATTCCCGTAATTTTTATTGAATATTTCCGTCCGATTGACGCAAATGAGGGATACGTATTATGAGAGTAATCTCGCTCTCAAACGCAACGGATTTTCTATTTATATTACGGTAAATCCGCGTGTTTTCACTTATCCTTTTTTACCGGGGATAAAAAATGAGAGAACACTGGTGTCCGTCAATGGGCAATTGCGTGGGTTCTCCGAAGGCGGGAAAAACGTAGCGTACACACGATAGTGCGTGGGCATTGAGTTTAAAAGAAAAATCTCAAGAGGAAGTGAGAATAAATAAAAAGATAAATAGTATCTGGGACATTCCATGTGAGCTCATGAGATTCATTGAGTATTGACCCATGATT